TATTACTCTACCTGACTTTAAACTATACTACAAAGCTATAATAACCAAAACAGCATGGTATTGGTATAATAACAGAGACTCTGATCAATGGAATAGAATAGAGCACCCTGAAATCAACCCACGCACTTACTGCCATTTGATCTTCGACAAAGGCATTAAGTCTATTCACTGGGGTCGGGACTCCCTCTTCAGCAAAGGGTGCTGGGATAACTGGTTATCCATTTGCAGGAGATTGAAACTAGACCCACATCTCTCACCATTTACTAAAATCAACTCAAAATGGATTAAGGATTTAAATATACACCCTGAAACAATAAAACTTATTAAAGAAAATATAGGAGAAACCCTTCAGCAAATAGGGCTGGGCACAGACTTCATGAATATGACCCCAAAAGCATGGGCAACCAAAGGAAAAATAAACAAATGGGACTATATCAAACTGAAAAGTTTCTGCACAGCAAAAGAAACAATTAACAGAGCTAAAAGACAGCCAACAGAGTGGGAGAAAATATTTGCAAAATACATATCTGACAAAGGACTAATATCCAGAATATATAAGGAACTCAAACAACTTTACAAGGAAAAAACAAGCAACCCAATTAAAAAATGGGCAAAAGAGCTAAGTAGGCATTTCTCTAAAGAAGATATGCAAATGGCCAACAGTCATATGAAAAAATGCTCAACATCACTCAGCATCCGGGAAATGCAAATCAAAACCACACTGAGATACCATCTCACCCCAGTTAGGATGGCTAAAATCCAAAAGACGCTGAACGATAAATGCTGGTGTGGTTGCGGAGAAAAAGGAACTCTCTTACATTGTTGGTGGGAATGCATAATGGTGCAACCCCTATGGAAAATGGTTTGGAGGTTCCTCAAACAGTTGCAGATAGATCTACCATATGACCCAGCTATCTCACTGCTGGGAATATATCCAAAGGAATGGAAATCATCAAGTCGAAGGTATACTTGTTTCCCAATGTTCATTGCAGCACTCTTCACAATAGCCAAGAGCTGGAATCAGCCCAAATGTCCATCATTGGATGAGTGGATATGGAAAATGTGGTATATCTACACAATGGAATACTACTCAGCTATAAAAACGAATGAAATACTGCCATTTGCAACAACATGGATGGACCTTGAAAGAATAATATTAAGTGAAACGAGTCAGGCAGTGAAAAAGAAATACCACATGTTTTCACTTATTGGAGGGAGCTAAAGGTGAATGAATCAATTCACACACACAGATACACACACACATACACACACACACACACACTCACACACACACAAAAACAAACAGCAACAACAACAACATCAACAACAACAACAACAACAACAAAAAACCGGGGGGTGGGGAGAGGAAGATTTAACAACCTCAATTTTTTTTTTTTTTTGAAGCTCTTACAACAAGAAAATGGAGGGGACACATCTGGGTGGGAGGGGGAGAGGGAGGAGGGAGGGAAGGCTTGGTGATGGGACACAATAACTAACTACATTGTATATTGACAAAATAAAAATAAATAAATAAAAATTTAAAAAAATAAATAAAAAATCCATTACAGCATTCAAAGAAAAAAAGAAAAAAGAATAAAAAAGAAAAGCTCTCCCATGTTTATTGCAGCTCTATTTACAGTAGGCAAGAGTTGGAATCAACCTAAATGTCCATTATCAGAAGACTGGATAAGGAAAATGTGTTATTTCTACAATGGAATACTCCCTGCTTCCTATGCAGAATACACAAGTAACTCAAACAACTTAATTGTAGAATAACAAGTAGTCTGATTTTTAAAATGCACAAAGGAGCTGAATAGGCATTTCCAGAAGGAAGATATACAAATGGCCAAAATTTTGCATGTTCTCACTTATATGTGACAGCTAAGAAAATAAATAACTTAAAAATTAAAGAAATGTACAACAATCACAATATTGCATTGAAGTTAAAGAGTAGAAAATCTCAACATCACTCAGCATCCAGGAAGTGTAAATCAAAGCCACATTGAAATATCATTCCAGTTTGACTGGCTACTATCAAAAAGGCAGAGAATAACAAATGGTGGTGAGTGCAGAGAAAGAGGAACCCTCCTACAGGGAGGTATTTGTAAAGGGTCACAAAAATCTATTACACTGTATATAGAAGAATATACTTATTATCCTGATTTGAACATCACATATTGCACATATATTGATATCCAACTCTTTACCTCAAAGATATGTACGGTCAACTATGTTGCAATGAAAAAAGCCTAATTTTAAAAAAACTTTTTATTGAACCTTCACTTATTTCTTTAGTTCTCTTTATGTATATCCAGATTCTAATCTATACCTTTTTTCTTCTCTGAGTTTTTCCTTTTTTTTCACACTGCTTCCACTACAGGTATCCTGGCAACAAATTCTCTCAATTTTTGTTTCCCTGAGAAAGTCTTTATTTTTTCTTATTTCTTACAGGTTGATCTCATAGTGTACAGAATTCTGTGTTGTAGGGTTCTTTCATCAATTGTTTGTATATTTCACTGTACTCTCTCCTTACTTACATGGATTCTCAGGAGATGTTGGGTATAATTAGTATCTTGTTTCTTTTTAGTTAAGTTTTTTTTTTCCTCCTTTTGGCTTCAGATTTTTTGTTTGTTTGGTTGGTTGGTTTTTTTGTTTGTTTTCTGAAGTTTGAGAACTACATGCCTAGATGTAGATTTTTGGCATTTATCTGGTTCTGTGTTATCTTAACTCCCTTTGTCTTTGGTTTGGTGCCTGAGATTAATTTGTGGAAGTTCTCAGACATTATTGTTTTAAGTGTTTCTTCTATTTTTTTCTCCATCTCTCTTCTGCTGTTTTCTCATTACTCTATATTACAACTTTTGACATTTCCAACACTCTTCAGATATTATGTTCTGTTCCTTTTGTGTTTTTCTTGTGTGTGTATGCTTTTCAGTTTTTATTCTCTGTGATCTATTCTGAAACTCAGAGATTTTTTTCTCAGCTGTGTTCAGTCAGCTATGTTCAGTTGGTGAGACTGTGGTGTCACTACTATCAAGGACCACAGTTTGATCCCTATACTGGCCTGCCCCCTGTGTATCTCTCTAACATCTACATAATTATTTAAAGGATTTTCAGTCATAGAACTTCAAATATCTTGTGTTTCCAAACAGACCAAATGCAAGTACATATATATATATATATATATATATATATAATGAGTTATTTATTCATATGATGAATTATATTGGCAGACTTTTTAATACTGAGCTTTCCTTTAATTGTGGAATAAATTTTGAAAATTTCTTTTTGTCCTTCACATTGTATTTCTTTTCCTCTGTCTTATATTAAAAGATAAAGTGCTTCTGCAGACTCTATCCTTGTTCTTGTTTTATTCTGTTTTGTTTTTACTTGGAAGCTCTTACGTTTGCTCAATCATTCTGATTTCTTCAGGTAGCATTGAAATTTTGATATTTCCCTGCCTTGAACTGAACTTGACCCCCTGTATGACAATGTTAGGTTGGTGGGTAATCCTATTATGGTAGTTGAAAGATGGGTCTTTAACGATGTGATTAGATCATAGGACCGTACCATAATGAACGGGTTAATAATGGTGGGCAGGGATGTGGTTCTGAGGGCTTTAAAAGAAGAACACATGAAAGGTTGACCTGAATCTGCCCTACCATTTTCTGCCATGTGAGACCCCTGGGTCACTGTCATCTCCACCAAGTTCTTCACCAGCTGTGTTCCCTGGACTTTTGACTCCCCAACTTTTGAATCTGCAGGCAGTGAATTTCATTTTCTAACAAATCACCCAGTTCCAGGTATTTTGTTATAAGCAACAGAAATGGACTAATACATTTCCAAATCTTTATCTTTAGTTTAGATCTCTCTTGAACTCTGGAATCATGTGTCCAATTGCAATTTCTCTTGAAATCTGGAACCATGTATCCAATTGCAATTTGGACATTCCCACAGATATTTCAAGTATAATGTATTCAAGTCTGTTTTATTTCTGCCCATTATATTTTTCTGTCATTCTAAAAGCTACACTTTACAGTTCCATTACCTATTTAGCTGTAATTATGTAGAGAACCTGAGAGTAAAGCACTTTTATTTTCTGCACAGGAATTTAGTACCACAGTGTCTTCCTGCTTTTTGTTTCTGTATTACTTTCCTCTTTTGTGTGCTTCTTGCTCTGTTATTTGTTCATTTATTTTCTGTTGGTTGGCCTGTATGGGGATCTGAACC